GAGTGAGATGGGCGCACAACCCTAGAGTCTGTCAAGACTGGCCCGTACAGGCAGGGGTACCTTTACCTTTACCTAGAGTCTTGTGTGAGGGGAAATTTCCTTTGTGGAACTTCTTGACTCCATGCTCACCTTGGGAAGGCCTGTGTGGCACTTGTCACTCTTGTTTCCTCCTGCATAAGTTCCTAGCTCCCCAGTACAAGTGAGGGGGGATGATGGGAAGAAAGGGAAAATTGGGTTCAACTGTGCTGAGCGGATCAGCTGCAATGGCCCAGCAGATGATACCCCTGGGTAAAGATTTGCTGCAACACTGACATCAGTAGTGGGTCAGATTGGTCCAGGAACCCAGGCAGGAAGGGCAGATGTAGCCTGTACAGAATTAGAGAAGGTCTATGAGTTGGGCATACTAAGAGGCCAGCAAGACAGATGACTTAAATGGTCTTTAATAAAGGACTACTTTATTGAAAGGCAATTTATTTGGGACTAAGGTGATTGTAATGGAATGGTGCCAGAGCTCTTTGGCCAAGGGGTAGGAATTGCTATAGGAATGGAGCATCAGGATAAAGGGAAGCATGACTCATCAAGGCAACTGTAGTGGAGGAATCATAGAATTGGAAAGGACCCTGAGGGTCATCTAGTTAACCCCCTTGCAATGCAGGAATCTCTGCTAAAGCATCCATGACAGATAGCATCCAACTTCTGCTTAAAAACACAGTAGAAACCTCTCCCCACCCCTGTCCCCAATTTGAAAGGAGCAACATCTCTGACCAAGACGGTTGAGGATTTCTTGACTGCAACACAGAGTGGATATTTACAGAGCAAGATATTTACAGTGTGATTTGCTGGTGTGGGAAGTCAAGCAGTCAAGTTGGCCTGGGGCAGTAATAGCGGTGGGAAGTCAATCGGCTTTGACAGTCATCACCAGCCGCTGGCTATCAAGCAAATAAGCAAAGTGATGAGGCTAGTTGGGGTGGTGGGGGCCAGGTAATGCCCAAGCAACCTGGTTGTGTAAGAGCAGCCAATAGGTCCATTTGATGCTTGCTCCCACCAGCACTACATTCTCACCAGTATGTGCTGCTTTGTGAACTCCTCCCAGTCTTCTAGCACAAGATCACATCTGGTATTTGATCCGGAGACAGCTTGCATGTGCTGCTTGTGCAACCCAGTTGATCTTTGCATATGTGGCTGGAGGATGACAAAATGCTCCATGATGTGTATCTTTTCCTGTCTGTGGTTGACTGGTTAGAGAGTTGCCTGGTAGTGTGTGCTGGGTGGACTTCAGATCTGACAGATACTCTCTTTTGCCATTTACATAGTTGTTGGACCAGGCATACAAAAGATGAGTTTGGTCTTAATTCTGCTATTCACTTGTTTGGTTTGAATTTACATTTCTCATTCCACTGCCCTATATCATAAGTTACCAGTGCTGCAGTTAGATAATTTCATATTCTGGACATAATGGCCTTCTGTCCCTTTACCCATCTTAGATGGTAATGCATATTACTTCATATTCTGGGGGACTCTTCTGATCATTCATTGGAGTGTGGCCCTGGACCTCTGCCCACCACAAAGTCCTGTCTTGAAGGCATTACTGAGCTACTAGCAGATGTTCCTATAAGAGTGCAGCCATCGCTTCCATTATTATTTGCCCTAATAACCCTAGTTCCTTACTCTCACTGCCAAAATGGTCTTTCTCCCAAAACACATCTTGATTTTTTGCTCCAGGAAGGCTTGAGGCTTTGTTAAACATGCCTCCTCCCAAACAAGCCTACTGCATGTTCTTCTATCCTTCTCAGCATCAGTCAGTTAAAACTATGTTTATTTGTGGTTGTTTTGTGGTGTGTGTGCGCGTATGCACAGGGGCTCAAACACAAGCATACAGGGACTCCAGAGACTCATGGCTATTGTGCTTTGGAGAATCTCATATCCAGGAGTGCTGCAGCATCTTTTGTGTCCTTCAGGTAGTATGTGTGGTGTGGAAGAGAACATTACTAGTGCATGAATTTACTCCTTTCATGCCTGACTGATGCAGGGGATTTTATTGCTGTGTGTTAGCTTCAGTGTGCTTTTCTTCTTGCACTTTTCTTCTGGGAGTGCTTAGGATTCAGACTGCTAAATTTATATTATATTGACTGAAGCTGGCCACCAGTATGGGAAGGCTCATTGGATTACCGTATTAGTGGAGAAAGTGCACAAGCTTGGCTACCAAATATACTACCATTATCCTTTTGAACGGGGGCAAGATTTAGAGTCACATCCCAGAGTAATTCACATAGGAACCTGCCTTACATTATGTCAGGTTATTTGTCCACCTAGCCTAGTATTGTCTCCTGACTGGCAGCAGTTCTCCAGAGATGTATCCCCCATCTCTTGCCTGATCCTCTTAGCTGGAAGTAGCAGAGACTGAACTTGGGACCACATGCTCCAGCATGGAGCTACAGGCTGCCTTCTAAATCTGTATACAAGACAGATGTGTGCATTTTGCTGCTGTTGTCCTATTTTTATTTTTTAAAAAAATATTTGCCCTTTTTGTGTCTATCTTATTGTGCAGTTAGAGTTGGGCTGTTTTTCCGTACAGCAAAAAAAATGAAGGGCACATGGAATATTTGCTTTCAAGAAGATGTGCATTTGATGCAGCAGAAAATGCCACCATTCAAATAGTTCCTAATGGTGGGGGGACATAAATTTTAGCTTTTAGCACAAAGAGAAAAGTCAGGGCAGGCCCACCCATGAGATGAGGTGAGACAACTGCCTTGGGCGGTAGGATCCACAGGGGCAGCAGATCTGGCCCCCATGGAATTCATCACCCACTGTTGCTGTGGGGGTGGCAACAGCTGCGGCATGCTCCTTGGAGGCTGGATCTGCTTCTTTAGCAGCCCTCCCCCCCGCCTCCCAAATGCTGCATGTACAGCAGCCTCTTGGCAAATAGGAGGCACTGCTGATTTCCTCCCACCCCCAAGGAGGAAATGGCCCCTTGGACTCTGCACCTACCCAGCAAGATTCAGAGTGTGACGGACTTTGATTCTCACTTCAGCCATTGGGCAAGGCTGATTGGATTCCTCCTCTGTTGCACCTGATGTAGTAGGGAGGGCACCATTTTGTGGTTCACTTCAGGGGCCCAAATGTCAAGGGCTGGCACTGAGCAAAGTTGATGAAGATATCGTAAGTAGTTAATCTAGTTTTCTCTCTGGAGGCACATGCACTTTTGGGTATCTTTGCCCCACCTGTATCAGTGATATCAATTTTTCTTTGCTCACTGGCAAACAGAACAACCCAAACCCCAGCAAAGCAGCAGTGGGGTGTAATGGAGCAGCCGAACCACACCCACAGCCCTCTTGCTCATTCCAGCCAGGTTAGCTGGTGGTGGGAGGAGGGAAATCATTGTGCCAGCCTGGACTCGGTGCAGCAATCAAGCCCAAAGTATCTCAGCTCCTGCCCCAATCCCCCCTGCGTTGGAGCTTTTGGCCAGCCACCTCTGGCAGGGATCCTGCTAGCAGTAGGTCTGCCTGCTTACACATTTAGTGGGTGGAACAGAGAACTCTGCACCAACCGTGACACTGGCATCACTCTATAGGCTGAGACCAACAGGGCTGGATGGAAGGGCACACCCACCCAATCCACACACACAGCATGGCACAAAGGGGCTTTTGGATTGCAGCCTATGTTTAGGGACTGGGAGGAGCCATTAAGGAAAAGTAAACATAACTTGTGATACTAGTGAAAGAATTCACTAGCTTGTTTCCTCTCTGTCTGCCTGCCTGCCTATCTGACCGTTTTCTAAATTCTTAATTTTTCTTAACCTGGCCATTTCTCTTCTAGACTTTTCTTCGAGGCCATAGCTGAGGGCCAAAACTTCTTGAGGCCTGAAATTTCAGTCCTTTGAAAGGCAATATCCCTCAGGCATTAGGAATGGCAGAGAAACTGCTACAAAGTCAAGAGTTTTTAGCTGGATCAGAAGCATCTTAGGGGTTGAAGGAATCCATGCCATGGCTTGGAGGCATCTGGTGCAGGAGAAGTGTTTTTGTTGAAGTCTGTCTGCCTCCACTATGCTCTGCTTATGTATTTATAAACGGACATTGCATGGGCATCGAACCCTTCAATCCTGCACTTAATACAGGAGTCTGATGAGTTCTCACTTCTGGGGCAGTGGAGAGCGTAGCACGGTGAAGGAAGTTACCAATACAAACATAAGAGGAATAAAGATTAGAATACTTCAATATTACTATCTTTATGCAGCACAGAAAAATGGCAGGATGTGGCCGAGACGAAGCATGTATCCCTTGGGGGCAGGGAGGTAGGAATGAATGTAAGCCTTGACAAGACATTAGGGCAGGTGAGACAGGAGGTGGGACCATAAGGTGTGCAGATGTTCCAGGATATGAGGTGCTGGTAGGTGGTCTTAAAACTATTGTTTGTTTGCACCATAAAAGTCAGGCTGGCCTTAAGTAGTTTGGAGCTCTAGGCATGGGGGTTAATTTTCCATCCAGCAGAGAGATATCAGCTTTAAGATGATGATTGGAGAGGCGCTTTGAGGAAAAGACCAGCCAGAACTGTAAATAATTACGGATGTCAGATTCAAATGGTGCAATGAAACAAAAAGCAGTCAGAAAGCATAATTCATTTAACCTCTTAAAAGATCTGCATCTATTAATATTTCAATTTGTGATCTCAGGGCAAAGCAGTTGCTATATTACCAATGACAAGGGGGCTCGTGCAAAATATTGTTATTTTTCTTTATGCACATTTTCCAGAAGAACAGATTGAGGACACAGGGTCAGTTAAGTAGACCTGAGGTTACAGAACAGGGCTGGATGGAAGCACAACATATGGGGGAAAGTGGTTCCCTGTTGCTAATGCGCACAGGATTGTTAAACTGCCAAACGAAGGTGAGAATATATTCAGTAGGGTAAGGAAAAGCAAACAAAAGAGCTGTATGGAAAATGGATAATGTTCCATTTTAGAGGAGCTAGAGAAGAGTACATTTTTAAAGAGTCACAACCACCTCATAGGTAATTTAATTTTATTGCATTTTATAATGCCATTGTCATACAGATTACATGCAGCTAGATCTACTGTACAAGGGTTTACCGTCTGCCAGAGCAGACACACAGAAGTCCAGAGTACAAATACACAGCAATGCTATTTCCTTTATACAGGGTGGAAATATGGCAGTGTGATGCAGTAGGAGGAGGATGGATCAAAGGTTTACAGACATCCTTCCCCCTCCCCAGTAACCTTTCCCTTCGCACTGACTTGCCACCTGCTAAAAGGATGATCACATCAAACCAACAAATGTGAGGAAGGAAAAACCCACAATATTAAAGGTCACTGCATGTCTTGTCCCTTTCTTGCACCTTCCTGGGTACCAGGAGAAGGAAAAGACAACAGAGTGCTGACATGCCACAGTCCCCTACCCTCCCACTGTATGTTGGGTACTAGGATGAGGGAGAACAGATCCACTTGCAATAGAGAAGATCTAAGAAGGAGGAGCCCCTGGAGGCAAAATTAAATATTACAAATTAGCAAATCAGGTCATTTCAGGAGACATGTTAACCTCCCCATTTCCATTCAATGAGATCAGTGACCCCTTGGCTCATGCCAAACTGCTAAGCTGATACGGTTTGAAAGTCACTAGTCATTGTTTCCTGGGTGATTTTTCTGCCACCTGAGATTCAGTGAGAGATTTGGAAGACAAGAATGCCAAGTGGTGAAAAGCTCAGAGAAGCCGAGCCTCAACTCTTTGGGAAGGTTAACCGGAAAGCTGCTCCGAATAGCAAACGGTTAAAGTGAACAACGGGGCAATGGGGCACCAGTATTTCATTCCTATAGAAGAACAGCCCCATTGCAATGAGTAATAAGAAGATTCCCATTTGACAAATCCTTCAGCACTTTGGAATCGTCTAAATTTGAAAAAGGAAAAAACTAAAACAAAACCTCTGCAAATTATGCATAGAGGCCACATTTATGTGGAGTCGAACACTTGAAAATCTACAGAATGGATAAACAGAACTGGCTCTTGTGGGTTTTTTTGAGTGGGATTTTTGTATCTCTCCCCTTGAAATATACCTATTAAAGATTATGTAAACATACAAAACTGAAACACACAGACCTTTGGTTTAATAAAATGTGTTTTGCTTCTGTTCTTACTTCTCCCAACTTTGAGGAAGTGAGAAGGAAAGGGAAATGATTACATCAGTATCCCAATTTCTTTTAAGCAATGGGTTCTCTCTTCCCACCCTCACCATTTCTACAACCTAATTTTCAGAAAGAAAACAAACCAAAGACAGCATAAAGAACTGGAACAGCATCCAAGTCAAGTCAAAGAGAGATACAAGAATGGCTTCCTAAATTCCAGAATAAGGGGGAAAAAACCTTCCTAAAATATTCCCTGCATTAGTTTCATCACAGGATAGTTAAATAGACAACAATAAACTAATTTTAGTAGGTTTTTAACCAGCATATATATCAATATATACAGATACTATCCTGCCACAAGTTGGGTTTGGTCTTTCCCACACTACCCCTTTAAAAGCCATTTTGAGGTAACAACAAAAACCATAAAAACACACAAGTACTATACGTAGTTTGAATGAAACAGAGTTTTGTGAAAAGTTATTTGTGCAAAAAAACAGATGTACCTAATGCAGTTAAACCTGGGGAAAGTTAAGTGCCAAGATATTTTCAGCTTAAGAAAGAGAACCCTCCAAGGCTCATGCCAGCCATATTTACTTTTCATGAACAGGGGATGAGGAATAAAGGACACTGAACAAAGTTACAAGAGCTTAAAGCCACAAAAAGAAACTCTGTGGTGGTAAACTATTCTTCCAAAATGACTTATGGAACAACAGTAAACGGGCACATTTGATGAGGTGAAAGAAATTGCATGGATGCCTTAACTGTTAAGAGAAGATCCCATAGATTCATTGTCTGTTGGTACATATATTGCATTTACATATGGATGCTGATGTTTTTAATATGGCATTACGGGAATTATTCAATTTTGAGCAGAAGACCCCCCCAAAAATAAAAAATAAAAAAAATCAGATGTTTAACCTGCCACCAGAAAACTATCGACTAGAGGCCCTTTCCCAGTCTGTATAAAGAGCCTCCACTTTTTGCAACAGAATAGAAAGAACACCTTACAGATGAAATCGCAGCACTGGAACACATTTTGTACAATTCTGGGCAGAGAATTCAGTCAGTCATCATTACTCTTGATTTTGCTGGGAAGGCCAGAAGGAACAATATGGATTTCCCAAGCTTATTCTAAACACATTTATATTAATCTAAGACAAATAATATCTCAACAGTATTTGGATTTGCTCTTTTTCTCTAGGAACGCTTGACCATTAACTTTTTCTGAATTTACACCAGTGTAACGAAACACACTGACTTCAATAACAAGGACTGCGTAGATCTGACCATTTGCCCAAGCAGTTGCTCACATCCTAACAACTATGGTCATTGTTGTCCATCATTTCTAAAGAGTTAGTGTTGCCAGGCTGAAACCCTTTTCAAAGGAATTCTCACAGAAAGGTAAACATTAGAGGAATGGGGAAATCCCCCTGTAACCCAGGAAAACACAATAAGAAGACACTCAAAGCCATGACCTGGACACAAGAAATGATCCTGGTCAGGTAGCTTGAGTCAGATTTAAATGAAAGGCAGCATCTAAAGAAAATTATGCCAACTGAAGCCATAGCAGTTCAATCAAGCAATTCAAAAAACAGGAGCAAGTTTCACACTTCAAGCTGTTGGAGGGCAAACAGACCACAAATTGAATAGCTGTAGTGAACAGCATGGATTCAGTGATACTGAACTATAGTCTTTCTTCAGTGTCCTGTTATTAATCAAGCACCTGTAAAGATTCTTAAAGTTGTGTCTAGAAAGAGCAGGGATAGGGCAGATCCTGATCAGTTGCCCAGTAAAGTTAGTGGGAATCCTGTTATTGATATGAATGAATTTAGGACTTGCTGTTTTGCAAGTAATAATCTTTTCAGCTTTATACACAGGCAAGCCCACGAGTCATGTGGAAGCTCTATTATAATGGCACTCCTTTATGTGTATAAAAGATGAGGCAGAATCTTAAAGCAACCAGACATCAGAACCACTCTAGTTTTGTGGTACAATTCTTTCATTGGGACAGTGCATTACCACTGAAAATTAGAAAGCTGTAGAAGCAATCAACGTGAAATTAACATCCTGGTTCAAATAGCTTTTGCTGGGAAAGTCAGAAACACAAGAAAAAATGAGCCAAGCCAAGAGAGGATGGTTTTGACTTGAGCCATGGAAATGGAAACAATTGCAGGGCACAGAAGTTTGGAGGACTGAGAGAATGACACCCCAAACCTCCTCTTTAATTATCCAGCTCACATGTACACTGGTTCCCTTCAGGACCAGGTGTAGATTTGAAAATCCAAAGAGATTCAAAACTATGCCACTTGCCTAGTGACCAATATGCATACTGACAATTCTGATGCAAAATCCTGGTTGTAACATACAAAGCAGTGACGTTTGGACAGCATATCCAATGTTTTAAAGCTAGTGGGTTGCAACATACCAGGGGGTGGGGGTGGGGAGTGCCCTTCTGGCATTTGGAGGGGTAGGAATCACTGTTTGAGAAACTAAATAAGATAACAACACAGATAAACACACACAAATTCCTTCCATAATTAGTAGTAATATAGTATAGTTCTCACAGGGATAAAGGAATCTGTGTCTGAGCTAGACTACTTCATGTGTCTGAATGCTCCTTCATTTGGGGGGGTGGGATCTGCTCATACAGACAAGTCAAGGAGAACCTGTCTTTCCAACAACTAGTTTTCTATGTGCATGGAAATACTGCATTCTCATGATCTCCTGTCCTACCTGCATTCTGAAGTGGTGCAACTCCAGACACAGATTTATTGCTGCAGCGAGAATTAAGACCCAAAGTTACCCTGTGGGATGCACACATTAATATTGTCACATCTAGGCAGGGAGGAGCTGTAACTGGCAGAAATGGCTAGCAGCACATTACAGACTGGAGACGCTCTGTTCTACATCAAAAGCCAGTTTGTCTTACAAATTATGTATATGCATGCCAGGGTCTCTAGAAAGGTTGCATCCTCTGTACCTATAAGTTAGCAAAGGCTCCTGCCTACTTTCACTGGAGTCATAGTAAGTGCCCAATCAGGTATGGATTATGCGGTATGAGTTGGCAATGTCCCACTAAGTTAATCAAGATTCTCAGTCAAGACTAGATTCTCTATGACAGTGCAAGCCACTGAGGTTGTTATTGCTGCTCCAGGTAAAGAACTTGGGGCCAGTTTTTATATTCATCAGAATCATGGTTAAGCTTTTCCTGGACTGCACCATGAAGATGTGGGTGGGTGGCGGCACTTGTTTGGTTTTCTAATGGAGGAAAAAATCCTGCACAGGGCAAACAACCACCTTTGCCTCCACCTGTGGCCCAAGGCATTGCAGTCCAGGAAGTTTTACCATTTGATTCTACCCAAAAGTATAAACTGGTTGCAATATGCCCAGCACTGAAGCAACAATTCAGCCTTAGTTGCTCCATCCCTTGCCTCCAGTTGGTTTGAGATAATGGGCATTTAATATATTAACTATGACCATTATGCTCCCTTTTCTCGGGCCCCTCCAATAAGTGAGTTAAGTTGAACAAACCCAAACAGTGAGGCACGGGCTTTGGTTTAAACAGAGACAGTTATATTTCTACAGAGAACCTCTTCCCGCAAGTGATGATGGTTACAGTTCAGATATTGGCAGTACAGCACCAGGTAACACCACTTTAATACTGGCAGAACAACGCATATACTGGGCACCCCAGGACCAGCTGCAGGTGCCTAACACAAGTTATTGTACCAGGTAGGAGAAAAACAGACTGAGGTCATTGAGTCAGAATAGTAGCATCTTTGAAGAGTTCAAATTGATGGAACTTAGTAGGAATTGATGGGGAAAGAATACCAAGGGGTAAGATAAACAACACTGGGGTATAACCACTCAGCTCTAGAGTTGTTTTCAAAGCAATCTGACATGCTGCAGTAGTACATGGATCGTGATGGAGTAAGACAAAGATCCAATAAATATCTTATTGCAAAGCTGATCTACACATTAAATAGAATAAGGTGGCAGAATTCCAGAAGGAATCATTTCAGACTACAGGAATCTTAAACAAACCCTCTGTCATGTAAAAATAATCATCCAGTTTATATTAAACTAGTACATCAGGGAGAGGACAGAGGGTATATTTCAATGCTGCGCTGTTGCAGATGTTCTGCCTTGACAGATGGAATGATGCACTATTCTGGGATTCTCCCAACCCAATTTTAGAGGCATGGGGAGAGGCAGGAAGCCCTGTTCCACAAGCTGATGGAGTTTGTTAGGTGAATCCCTCCCTATGTGTTTAGTCACATTTCCTACATGCAATTTACTACATGCAGGGAGTTAAAAAAAACACAAAATGTTTTCAATGTATGGGAGCATTAAAAAGATGGCCACAACAGCCCCACCCCTGCAGTCTGAAATCATGCGGCCCAAAATTCTGCCATCTCACACTATGTAAATGTGTTAATTGACTCAATACCTCGAGTGGCTACAATGAATCTGCTGTGAGCTTTTCAAAACACATGCTACTCAGACAATGCCTTCAAGATCTGACAAGGCTCCCAATTATTTTGGATGATGAGGAAAGGGGTAAGGACACCAAAACTTTGGAAAGAACAACTGCTGAAAACAAAGAGAAGAATCCAAAACTGCACAAACAACCTCTGATAACAGCTGAAATGAAGGAAGCTATGATCTGAAAAGGGGAGCGAGTGAGACAGAAGCAGGTTCAAGAGAGACCCATGGAATGCAAACCCTCTCTAGGCTCAACGGCGTACCCTTAGTAAAGCAAATGACTAACACAAAGCAGCAATCCATGATTCTGGTCTACCTTCATTAGAAGTGTACAAAACAGCACCTGTAAACTTTGGTTTAAATAATAACTTAAAATCAAAAGAAAGTGACAAAAGGGCTAAAGGGGTGCAGGATCTTTGTGAATTTCTTTTTGGCCTATGCCAGTTGGGATAAGTCAGAATAAAAGCACCAAACAAAAATTAAAACAAAAAGTGTTTTGGTTTATGCTTCTTGTCTAAGAAAGGTCTTTGGTCAATGGTTAAGCCAATTGTAAAGCATTCTGAAGAGGGCACTAGGGAGGCATTGAGATATGGTCCCAAGGAGGAAGTGAGGTGTGGTGTGTTTCTGCTCAAACTAAGGATGGGAACATTTTCCTCAAGCTGCTTCTGGAGTTGAGCTGGGCCCTGAGGGGTGGGTAGACAGTCAAAAGGTTCTGAGGTATTTTCAGCTCTTGCAGTCCGTCTTGACTGTATTTGCAGGCTTTGCCATGCCAGCCACTCACTGGCAATGGATAGTTTCTCTGGGAAGGTTATTTAAAGCTTCTTAAATTTGATTCACATCCCTTAAGCAAGATCACCTCCAGCTTACTGCAGCTTAAAGATGGCCCCTCTTTCTTCCAATAGGTATACACTTCCCATCAAACCAGAGCAACTACCCTCAATTAATCTAGATAATAAACTCCAATTTTGCTCTGCCGGTTGGTGAAGTCAGGAAGCTGAGTAGGGGGAATTCATGCTCAGTGGAGCCCTGTAGCGTAGACTCCAGGAACCAGGCATTGGTGGTTTTCTGAGTGAGGACTGTGGCACCTCTTTATTCTTGCAGCCATGATTCAGGAAGGAAGGAAAGAAAGAAAAAAGGAAGGAAGGGTGGGAAGCTTTTTATATATCTTTACTGCTTTTCATTTTTGTCTAGGTGTGATACAAATCTGGGTCACTTAAGCACACTACTCAATATGAAGTTTCAGAAGGAAAGTGTTAGAGAGGAAGTATTGAGTGTTACATATATGGACAAATACAATCGCTTAGATAAGGCTTACATGGGGTAACATCAATCTCTGTTCTTTGTGACTTGAGGGGCAGGCTTCCCTTCCATCAGCAAACTTATTTAGAAAAAATATCACAAGGGGGTGGGGAGACTGGCCAAGAAGGTGAGTAGAGATTATAGTGCATGGTGTTCCAGAATTTAATAAAAAGATATATTGTTCTAGTGTAACCCACCAGAGATCCTTCTAGGAGGTAATTCCACTGGCAAAATTGAGCAAACAGACTCAAATGATTCTGCTAGGTGGTTTTAGAGCTGTTGCAGAGACTAATCAGTGAGCACCTTTTTTGAGAGGGGGGGGGGAGAGAGAGAACTTGATCTTGGTTAAGAGGTCTGATCCCAATCACCATTCACCTACAAACGTAAGTTTGGGGTTGTATAGAACTAATGTGTCATTCTGTACACTTAAGAAGAGGTAGAGTGGAGGCAAAAAGGCACAAGAAGTGCCAGCTGATTTACTGTAACCTTTTAAGCTAAGCTTGGGAATTAAGGAAAAGAAGGAGGAGTGATTGTTATCATGGTCTGCCAGCTGGTGAAAGGAGACTTTAAGGAAGAATTTTAACACCATTAAAATGCACTGTGCTGGAGAAAAATGGAGCAATGGTGCATACAGGCTAAAGAGACAACATTTTGAGTAGGTTAGCTCTCTTCCTTACCCGGACAGTATTACCCCTCACTTTACCAGATGGTGCTTTGAACAATAGGGGGGTGGGGAATACCTAATAATGAAATAAAGAATGGTGCAAAGGAATCCTAAGACAAGTTAATCATGACTATTTTGCTCCAATGTCTTTGGGGGCCTTAGTCTGGGGAGGGCATCCAGCAAGCTAATCTACGCTGAACTTCAGTGTTGAAGCATGGCAATGGCAGCTTACTTTTCTAACATAAAGGGTTGCATACAGAACACAATTTCTTGCTGGTTTGGGAATCATCCAGGTGTGGCCAAGTACCAGCTTGTTTTCCCAAAAGGTGATGATGAAACTCCTGTATCTTGATTAAACCCTTAATGTGGGGGTCATCCACACTTGTGTTTGTCCCATGATTTCTAGGCACAAAATAGGTATGGGTTCCACTGCTTTTCCTGGGAAAACCCGCCGTTTATTGCTGAATCGGTAAACCCCATCTATTGGATTTTCTGTAGATAAGCGTTTATTCCAATTCAGCAGTACACCGGTTTTCCTAGTGAAGGAAGCAGTGGGACAAAAAAAGAACCTCTTCGACCCATGACTGGAAATCACAGGGGAAAAGGAAGTGTGGATAAGCCCTAGGTTACACAGATTTATTGGTGGGAGAGTGGACACACATGAGCTTGCTTTAGAAAGAGACTCCTCAAAAGCCCAGTATCCAACTTCTTTGACCCACTGCATCCCTTGTCCCACAATGGCCAAGACAATTTTTTGGTCACCAAGAGGGAGCTTTTCGGTTGCCCTCTCATGGAAGGAGAGGGAGAGGAGCCTTTGGAAACCATTATTTTTTTCTGCCGGGAAGAGCTCCTGGAATATCCTCTTGCCTCTCCATCCTGAAATTCTAATTTGAGGCATCAGACAATCAGTTAACATAAAATAAAAAGGCTGTGGGAAGGGTTTTTGGTTAACACTGTTTGTTCACCTGAAAGATGTACTAGATCCTACTGTAACGTTTTGGAAACTTTTGTTCCCCCTCCAAAATAGTTGGCATCTAGGAACTAATTGCTAGCATACCAATTGTGTGGTTGGATATATTTCCACTAGACAAGCTAATGTCTAGAAGGAAATGAGTGCTTCATCATAGCGTTGCTGTGTTTGGTCACAAAGGAAAAGGTTTGTTGACCTTACATTTATATTGCTTTGAGTTTTGCATGGTCAACCGGCTCTTGGTTTTCTACAGCCACATACATTGGCCTGTCCCCACTTCCCCCTCCCCCCACCACAAGTGCTTCAGATTTTGCTGGCTTTGCTAAGTCAGCTCCACTCACATATATTTGGCCTTCCCATTTACCCACCTCTTCACTCCCACATGAGCAACCAAGAGTCATGCTTTCTGGCCTTATCCCAGCATGGGTGAAAACGGAAGGGACAGAATGGAAGCTGGGAGGAGCAAGCAAAAGGTTTGTCTTGCAGAAGTTAAAGTCTTTCCCTGAATTCAGTCTCATGCTGGGCCCCAGCAGCTTGCTGTCCAATCATCTGGCTGTTGGCTTCCGGTAAAATTTTCACAGTATGTGATGGCGCGGAATGGATATTCATCCCTGGGTTTTGTGGTGAATAAAGCTTTGTGGACTGAAGTCTGGCTGTCAAGCATGACTGGTAAAAGAAGGCTACTTCTTGAACTTGCAGGGGCACAAACACAGGTTGGAGAAAGAATAACCGAGTGGTTTTATGTGTGGCAGTGAGAGACCCTTTGGCTGTTTGTTGACCTACAGTGTATTCATGATACCCAGCTTGGTTTTTTTCCATTTCTCTCTCATTCAGGAAATGAGCAGAAGCTGGGACAACACCAGGGCCACTGTAGGGTTCTAGTTTCAAACTGCTGTTCCAGTACGTTGAAATGGTGCTAGGGTGTGTGTGAGTTGTGTATGCATATATGCTAAGTGTGTGCGCGTGAAAAAACATTCCTCCTAGTGCAAAGTTCTCAGTGGGATAAACTGACAGGTTACTGGAAATGCTTTCCATGGGAAAGTGGGGGACATTCACAGAAGCCCATGGCTTGGATGCTGCCCCCTGCTGGACTGGATGCTTCCAAAATCTTGATTTGTGGAAACAATATGGCATATGAGCTGAAAATGACAAAACACAGAGCAGACAATACGAGACACCTTCTTTTTATCCCCATGAGAATGGGGTGATGGAGCAGGGGAAGGCAACAAAGAAGTCTTCGGACAGAACCAACCTACCATCCTCGTTTATCAGTTATAAAATAATAAAAAAGTTAAAGAAAAAGCTCAACTCTGGTTTTTGTTTCTTTGCACATCCCCCTCTGTGAATGTCTGTTAAGAGTCACTGGGATGTAAGGAAGGGAAAGAAGTGTGTGCCTTCAGCAATGGGTAGACCCAAGGAAACCCTTTTGCTTTGCAGAAGTGCCTTAAACAAGATAACGCTGAAGGTCACCTTGAGGAGGTGGGAGCCATTGCTTTGTCTCTGGGGAAATGCTGGGCCTAGGTGAGGAGGGAGGGCCCTTAAGACAAGTCTTCCACTGGCAGCTCCTCCTCCATGTCTCTGTCATCAGGAATTGTCACATTCTGATTGGTTGTTCCCATGAGAGAAACAGGTCTGCTGTCATCTTCTGTCTCAGTTGGTTCTTCCTTCACATGGACTTGGTGGCTGCAGAATAGAAAGTTGGAGAAACCAAGCAGAATTAGAACAAAAATTTCCTAGGGAAAATAAGATCATTCAGGAGATTACTAGCAAAAGAAGCAGGGCAGAAACTGAACATTTGGCTGAAAGGACATTAGTCCTGACTTTTTCAAGATCCCAAATATTCGAGTCTAAACATGTTTCCCTTGGGACAGAAATTTTCGCAGCATTTGGATCAATTACATGGGCTGGGGGCGTTTTATGGCAATTATAATGTTTAGTCTATACTCATTGCAATCTCCAGATTAACTTGATGTTAATGCTTCCCCAGATGAATTTTAATGCTGATTATTTATTGATTATTTGATTATTTATTTATTATTTGAATATTCATCCAAAGATCATAGAGTGGTTTACAACATAAAAACACAAAATGCGTAATAAAAACAAACCAATAACCCTCCTCCCACAAACACATTTAAAAGGCCTGGTTATAGAGAAACGTTTCCACCTGGCACCTCAAGATAGGTAATGAAGGCGCCAGGCGAGCCTCCCTGGAGAGGGCATTCCACAAATGGGAAGCCACTGCAGAAAATGCCCATTCTTGTGTTGCCACCCTCCAGACCTCTCATGGGGGAGGAACATGAAGAAGGGCCTAAGAGGATGATTACGGGGTCTGAAAGCCCTTGTCATTACAATCAATGATTTGACATTTGGACATTGAATGTGCGGCTCCTATACCCACCCACCCACCCATTCTAGATACAGTCGTACCTCTGCTTACGTATCCCTCCAGTTATGTAAACTTCGGGATACGTAAGCAGCAAACCCGAAAGTATATTTCCGGGTTTTTCCAGCGCTCTTCCGCCACACATGCGTGCACAGAAGAGGTCTTTCCAGTTGTGAAAACTTTGGGATCTGGCCGGACCTCTGGAACGGATCCCGTCCGCAACCGGAGGTACCACTGTAGTTTACTACAGGCATAGGCAAACTTGGCCCTCCGCATGTTTTGGGACTACAGCTCCCATCATCCCTAGCTAACAGGACCAGTGGTCAGGGATGATGGGAGTTGTAGTCCCAAAACATGCGGAGGGCCGAGTTTGCGTATGCCTGGTTTACTACGCCTGAGTAAGGCAGTATTCACTCAGACTCTTATCCAACAGTGATGCTGACATTATAGCTTGCCAAAAGGCACTGTACCACTGTGTGTTGAAGGAGGGCTCTGATGTGAAAATGAAGTATTCTTTAGCAGGAAATCTGGTGAAAATTCATTAGCATTCCCAAGAAGCCCGTTTTGAACCCCAGAGCTATCCTCCCCCCCCCGACACAAGCAGCAGGGCAATACTCAAGTTGTACATGTACAGTGGTGCCCCGCAAGACGAATGCCTCACAAGACGGAAAACCGCTAGACGAAAGGGTTTTCCGTTTTGGAGGTGCTTCGCAAAACGAATTTCCTATGGGCTTGCTTTGCAAGACGAAAATGTCTTGCGAGTTCCTGCAGTGTTTTTTTCCTTCCCCCCCTTTTTCCCAAGCCGCTAAGCCGCTTATCAGCTGATCCGCTAAGCCGCTTATCAGCTGATCCGCTAAGCCGCTTATCAGCTGATCCGCTAAGCCGCTTATCAGCTGATCCGCTAAGCCGCTAATAGCGCTAATCCGCTAATGGGCTTGCTTCGCAAGACGAAAAAACCGCAAGACGAAGAGACTCGCGGAACGGATTCTTTTCGTCTTGCGAGGCACCACTGTATTTGATTCTTAAATGGGTCCTCCAAAAGTTGCACAGCCTGACCCACTAATGAAGTGTGGAAGATGTCTGCATTTTAAAGACTATTGTATCTGTCATTGCACTTCTAGGGCAGCCCAGTATGCAGGAGCTACCAGAGCTCCAATTCATTTTTGCCTGGAAGGGAGCCTATAGAAAAAAAGGCAAGTCTGAACTTACCTATACTGCTGTGGTGAAAGCCTGGGGCTATTGCTGCCATTACTGTTGACTTGTTCCACAGTGCTGCTCACATCATCATGGCCGACATGTAGCATGCCGCTAGTGGAGCTTGTGTTGATCATGGTGGGATTGTTCAGCAGAGGGAAGTTGCTCTCAGCCAGGGCTGCCTAAAAAGTCAAAATGCAAGTAATAAAAATACCATAGCACAATATCATTCCCTAAATAAAGACCAATTTAGTGGGTGTGTTGTGGGTGGGAATACAGTTAATGAATACTCAAAAAAAAAGAAAAAAAAAAGAAACGACAGGTTTACAAAACAACTCTAGTTCTATATAGGTAATGAGAAATAGAAATTACTTTCCCCAAGTACTTCAAGTGCATCTGGCTATGTTTTCTTCTACAACAGCTCAGTGTACAGAAATGGAAATGTATGTTCCACTTTTAAATCTCACAGCATGAAATGAATCAAGGAACAAAAGTAACGACAAAAGCAACTAAAATACTTTTGTAAAATCTCATTCATAAACTTTCCTGTGTTGGTTTTATTCCTTCAACAATCATGGGAATGAAACTCAGGCAGATGTCAGAAAGGTGAGCTTTTTGTGTGTGCTGAGGAAGCTCAGGGTACCTACTTCATTGGTTAAGAGAGTTCTGAAGTCTAATTTAGGGGACTTGTTAAATAGTGCTAGGTCACTGGTTCCTCAGCAGTAATCATCCTAATGATACCTGCACAATTATTCCATATCTGGACCCTCTCCCTATCCATAGACCTACAACACCCTAGTCTACCAACCTACTGAGAGGGGAGGCTGAAAGGACAATTTCATTTACCATCCTGCAAGGCACTCAGCTGTGATGAGGGAGAACGAGGCTATTTAGATATTCTGCCATTTGCTATCCTTTACTCCTTACAACTATTGCCAAAACAAATTGGTCTTTACATTGCCTAGAAGGACATTAGTGAGTTACTGCAACAAACAGTAAAGTGGGTTTCTGGCCCATTTGGAGCGAGGGCTCTCACATGACTGTGGAGAGTGGGATTGCTTAGGTTGATCTGGTTCTCCAATATGTCTTGTGGGAAAGGAGCTCTGGCTATCATGTGATGAGAGAAACAGAAAAACCAAACCACCTTTTATGCATTTGATTTCTATATTTTATTTTATTTCTATATTCGCATTGCTATGAGGAACCAGTGGAGTGGGAGCTTGCTTTGTTGGACATGAACTGTGAACACAGCACTCTTTCAGCAAGGGATGGCTCTCTCTAATGGGAATAATATTACCTATAAAACTTGTTCATTGGTGGGTCATACCTGGTAGCTGGCATTAAGTGCTCCATAACTAAGGCCAGAAATCATGTTTTTGACTAAAGTTGGACTCCTGTAAACAAAAGAAGCAGCTGTTAGCATTCGTACCTAAGCACAAGATGCAAAAATAGACCCACTACGGAAGAGCAGCTGCAATAGTTGCTGCCAGTGTTAAGAACCTAAGAGCCCCGCTGGATCAGACCAAAGACTGATCTAGTCCAGCATCCTGTTCTCACAGTAGCCAATCAGATGCCTATGGGAAGCCCGCAAGCATTACCCGAGTGCAAAAGTGTTCTCTTTGCTTGTGATTCTTAGCAGCTGCCATTCAGAGGCATACTGCCCTCAAAAGTGGAGTAGAACATAGTTCTCGTGGCCAGTAATCACTGACAGGTTTATCCTCCATAAATTTCTCTAATCCTCCTGTGCTGGAGGCCATCACTAGATCTTATGGGGAAATGATAATGGTGGTTCTTTTTTCAGTTCTGAAAATATGCCCTACTGTGGCTGGAAGATGGTAACCAGTCCCATGTTATCCCCCTCCATCTACTACAATCTAAATATTTAGAGATTACAGGACTATTATCTTATCTTCCCTGACCATTGGCCATACTAGCTAGGACTGATGGGAGTTAAGAGTACAGCATTTGGAAGAGCACAGGTTAGCCACCCCTGTCAACTGTGTCCTAGGCTCTGCTGTAGTCTGTGCTGTTTCATTTTAGACATGTCTCCAGACTGGGTGTGCCCCAGGAAAATTGAACAAACATTGCAACAGTTGTCAGAGATTTTTAATCTGAAGGGCTAGGGGTTTCTTTTAATCTCTTCTCTCCCCCATTTCTTGTTTGTGTACATAAATACACTAACAGGTTTTCTATGGTTACAGGAGCTAATACCACAATTGGAATACCACCAGTGGTGCCCTGTTTGTTGCCTGTGCAGCTTCCACTAATGGTTTCTGCTAGTGGTAAGTGAATGTTTTTGGCTGTGGAAATATGTTCCTATGTGCATGCAATGCTACTGCTACATACTGCTATGATGCTTGCAGTGCTATCCTATGGTTGTCTACTCAAGATGTTCCTTTGTGTTCAATGGAGCTTACTACATGGAAATCCTATACAAACTTATACTGTGTCTGACAGCTTGCCGAACAGGATTGTTCTCCTCTTCCCAAGGATGTTGTCTGGCAAGCTATCAGACATGCTGCAAGTGTGTGCCGGATTGTAGTTTTGTTCATATAAATTTAAAGGGATGACTATCATTGGTACCCCAATAATATTTACTGATAAAATGGTTAAAGTGAAAATATGTCAGTTTACATGTCTCACATCCCTCTTCACAAAATTATTCCTTTTGCTGGAAATAGCCAGTGATGTTTATGTGACAGTTCCATACAACTGCCCCATCCTCAAATGAACCTTTGTAAAGAAAAGAGGGAATGCCTCTTCAACCCACAAATAATGTTTTGCTGACAAGAGGGTTGTTGTCTCATTGCAGGTAGAGAACATGAACCCATATTTCCAGTGCAATGCATACTTCTAAATGTACATCTTTGCAGTAGTGAACACACACACAGAGATGTGATAATCACAGAGCAGTGTGCAATGTTAAAGTTCAGTTCTGAAAACTGGCACAGGCAATAAACATATTAATCAGTGAAGCAAAAGCTAAAATATGGTTCTGAAAAGAATAAATTCATAGGGAAATCTTGAAGGAATGAAAATAATAACTCAGGCCTCTCAGCCACTTCTGAGCTTACCTCAGGGATAATAGATGGGGATTATATCCCAATCATTTGAAGAGGGATATTTACTCCTTCACAAAATACTAATTCATTTACAGAACTCATAGCCACAAGATTTACCAGTGGTTGTCACTAGCTTTAAAAGCTCCCCTCCGCCCTTCAAATTCATTGGGTATTTATCTACACGTGTTAACAATTATGTATGTTCAGACACGGTATACTGCCAAATTCAGAGGACAGCTGTTGCCTTCAAGCCTTGTGTGCAAATTTCTCAGTAACATCTGCCAGGGCACAGTTGACGACACAGGTGGACCTTTGGTCCTGACCAGCCAGGTTGTTTTCATGATTCTGCCTCTGAGTGTGCAGCCCAGATGAGAAACATGTTGCTGGAAGATGTGCTGCTGCCCCACTGCTCCCCTCCTATGTACTCCCCCCACCCCATGAGATGAGCTTTGCATACTCCCAGCCATTCTCATATTCAACTGCAGCACTCCTCTTTCCATGGAGGCTGCCTGGCAAGCTGTCTGACACACCCTGTCATCTTTGGTGGCCTTCTCTTTTGGTACTCAAGTTCATCTACAGTCCAGACGGCTCCCTTGACATTCTCCACTCGGACGAAGCATTTGTGTAGGCTCAGGTTGTGGCGTACGGCATTCTGCAGGGAGGACAGAAAGAAGATAAAGAATGATGTTGAAACACGTGAAGACCTTCTGCTAGACACCCCTCTCGGCAACGCTTCCAGCTGATACCTCTGTTAGCAGCTAGTCTCCTACAGATTAGTCAGCAACCTGCTACCAATATCCTGAAAATCTGTCTCTCTGTATAATGGGGGATGATGCTTTCGGTCTACCATTTTCTGAAGACAACCATCTGCTCTTTATGGTAATAGCTAGATATTTTGGGTATTGTCTCTACTGTACATGCTCCTATGCCATATTACTCAGCTAGATTGTTGCCTGGGTCAGCACCACCTCCTGATCAGTTATCACATCGTCTCATCCTAATCATGATTGGTCCCAGCCACCTCCTCACAACAGCAGGGATGTGCTTGCATACCTCGGACTATCCTAAGGAAACCCTCAGCAGCACACACCAGCAGTGAGAGCGGAAGATGAGCCCCTCTCCTTCAAGGGCAATTGATGGGATCAACAAATGCCAGCGGCAGCTGGGAAAAGGCTTGGTCAGAAATGCAGAAGGAGAGGGCTACTGTGTGACATTCCAGCAGAGCATGCTATGAAAAATGTTTCAGTCCTGTTATTCTGAGATCAGCAGGACAGCGACCACACCATTCCATTCTCTGGGACACTTGCTAACAAAGCTTCCATGGAAGAGCCATTTTGTGATTGTGTGTCTTGTTCTCACCTCCCACGGAAGTGAACTGAGAATGGTTGCTGGGCTTCCACAAACCAGCCTACGTAATTGCTCATTATTGGCTAAATGTAGAGAAAAGGGAGGGAGAGGGAAACTAAATATCGTGCTGGGAAATGAATTGCCAATGCCAGCTCCTACTTGGAAATCCTCAGCCTTCCCCCCTCCCATCACGCAGCCCATCCTTCCTCTTTATTCTGTGTTGCCCATCTTTACATTTCTAAATGTAAAATAAAGAAAATGCACGTACACAGGCAGTGTTGCCCCGAGAGATACTAGCTCCCTTTCCCCCCTTCCAGCTCCCTGCCATTTGCTACTGCCCCTATTTCATTACCAATTTTAATTTGCCTCTAATTAAATCCTGTGTATTTTTCCGACTCACTTGCTAATCCATGAGGGAGGCAGGAGGCTGGAGTGGAATCTCTCCGAGCTATAATTACAAAGGGCCTAATCACGTCGGGGCTCTGCCTTTGAATAAATTTCCTTGCATTAAGGTTCTCAGATTCTCTGCCTTGCAAATGAGAATGACCCCAATTTCAGGATGTTGGCCTCGGAGGGTTTTTTTTTTATTTCGAGTCCTGATTCGTGATGAGAGACTAATTCGTTACGCTAAAACATTAACAGCAATTTAAAAGGTCGAACGGGGGCCGTATAAACAAAAGAGCTGGCCAAGACAACAAGGCAAAAGAGAGAGATGGGGAATAAAAACCCCACCTTCGAAAGTGTTACAGTTCTTGGAAACTCAATGAATCAGACTTTTTCTTCCCATACTGGATACAGTATTTTTCAAGCCTACCGATTCCTCCTCCCCATCGACTTCCTTCTATTATTTACCCACCTGAATATTTGTGACAATGCAATTGTCCCTTCCTGGTGCCCCTGTTCTCCAGACATGAGAAGAGAGGCCTCAATTTCCATTTTTGTTATAACTGACAGCAGTTCAGGCTAGAATTATATGGGGCCTGATGTTGCCCATGTACCACTTGAAAATGTGTTCATCACTAGCATACTCTTATCACTACACAGTGTTCAGCAACAGAGGAAACTTCTTTCCTGCATTCTCAGTAAGACCACATCAACTAACAGTAAGGTAAATGGTCATTGCATATCAGGCATGCTTACGAGCAGTAAAAACCCAAACACTGCATCTTGCTCAGTCTTGCCATGCTTGTGGCATGTTGGCACACATTTCCAATAGGTAAATACTATGCCAATTTTCAAGGTAAGGGCCCTTCTACATGGCACTGTTTGCTTGCGGCAGCTCTGCATAAGCGTTGCAAGAGCTTGAGGGATTTCACATGGCATCATGGCTTGGACTTGGTAACACTTTCAGGGAACTGAATAGCAGCCTGATGAAATGGCTTGGGGATTTGCTTTGCTGCTCTCAGAACAGAGTACTGAATAGCGTTTCTTCTTCTGCACCACCTTTACAATGACATTTGAAGTGCCTTATAACCCTCTCTCTTTTTGTGGCATTGATGCTGCTGCAGTGAGAGGTGCAGATGAGCTCTGTGACTCTGTGGTTGATCATCTGTGAGTAGGAGATCTGCCTCAGGGCTTACCCCAGACAGGAATCACACAAGTGTGTGTGTGCATGAGAGAGAAAGCATGCCTAAATGGCTCGCTGAGTTCCACAAAGGGAATCTCAGGCAGGAAGTGAATCTGTCTCTAAAGACAGTCCCAATGAAGAAATCAAGAGAATAAGGTCAAGCTTTCCCTGTAAAATGCTATGGCCTCCTGTTTTGTTTTTGGTACAGCAAATCCTGTATGGGATTGGTTACTGTTGGAAACACCACATCTGCTTCTGTTACAAAATGACGGCCTTTTCTCTTTGGTCTCCACTGAAACCGCTTTGAAGGCAGACACCCTCCGGCGCTGAAATCAGCAGATGAGCACGTACGTCTTTTGCAAACCTGTGCTGGGAAAAATTCTACCTCTGTTTCATTAGTGTGGCCGTGCTGCTATTGGCCAGATGCTGAAGCCCAATAATGTTATCTGCATGTGGCTCATGAGGGCCATAATGAGACCGGGAAATCGTCCCCATTCTGCCCCAAAATATGGCAGTGATGGATTTGGGTTGCAAGGGTCTCCCCATTTGACACTGATCCCTATCCAGTGGACACCTTCTATCATTTATTTTATTTACAAACTTTCTGAACTGCTCTTCATCCAAACACAACCTTGGCTTGAGTGTGTGTGTGTGTACACAATGCTAGCAGAAACTATAAAGCAAAACATTAAGCACCACAGAACAATAAAAACTGGCTAAAAACCAAATCATTTAAGAGCAAGGCTTGCTCTTCTGATCATCAAGAGGTATAGAACAGACTCAGGCTCGCTTAGCACCCATTCAGTGTTTTATGGGGTACCACTAACCATCCATAGCTGGCAACAGGACATTGGCTTGCTTATCTGCACAGGGCACGAAAGGAAATGGAGGCCAAATGAGGCCACTACATGTGCAGGGATGTTCACAGATTCTTCCTGAAAATCCCACATGCATTTTCATAAGCTGTCTAGGAATAACTTCACACAGAAATCCCAGGAAGGAAAAATCTATGAAAGGTGCTTCTGGCAGCATCTGAAGAAAGAAACACTAAGCTTTCTAGCTCTTTATGTGGATTATTCGCTGTCTCTTGGCCATCCCAGTGGCTGGCAGGAGGGTGTCGCCAAGTGTGTCTTTCCTTACTTCTGTGGTCTCCTGCTCCGGGGAGGCCTCCTTGCATGATTTAAATGCAGCTTTTGTGTTTTGACAGAGTATTTGTTTAATGCCAGGCTTGGCTGCTCTGTTTGCTTCTTATCTTTGTCTTTTCTAATGATGTTTGCTTTATGCCCCTGGCCCAGCTTCTCTCCCCAGCTTCTACCCCAGCCATTCAGCATCTCCCTGTTACATGTGCTGCCGCCGCTGCCGCCATACTAACAAAATCCTCCTCACACCTGCCTCTTTGCAGGCACCTCTTGCCATACCTCTTGGCACCTATTTACTTTGCACTCACCCAGCTCCTACTACCTAAGTACCTGAAATCGCTCCAGAAGGATTAAACCATCATTTAAAAAATGAAATGCTTTCTTTGTGAGACAACCAACGTAATATGCGCTTTCACTGGAACAAGCCGTAGTGCTGGAATTTCTGTTCCTTCCCATACCTCTTTTATACTGACATTATTTTCTTCAATTTTGCCAGAGACAATAAAGAAAAATATGGGACTAAATGGCAAATTGAAGCAAACACAAGATTTTAAAGCTATTTTTCAAAGTAAGATTTTTTTTTTAGTAGAGATTTTCAGTCTGCACCAATCTATTTCTAATTAGCCAAGGGTGCAATTAATGTGTGCACAACATAAATAAAGGATGTAGAAATGGACATCATTCCTCACTTCCTCTCTAAAGGCTAGAAAGAGAGTCCAAAAATTTGGATTTCTGGCTCCTGCCCTAACCATTTTAGGCATAGCATTTTCTATGGGGCATGTAGTTTTAAACAAGAGTGACAGCTATAGCTTGGCATATCTCCACATCCCCTTCCCCAATTCTCTTCAGTAGGACCCTACTTGCAACGTGTCCGGGATGCCGTCTACAGTTATTTGTGTCTTGCACAAGCACAGCTTATTTACTTGTAGTAATCCACCTGAACCATTAGGGGGACTCAATGATTGGTGCACAAACTTACTTACAGAGCACTTGAAATGATTGCAGCCTTCCTCAGTTTGTTTAAATTACCTATTCACAGACACCCAATCTGCTTAATATTGTGGCTCTTACTCTTTGCTTAGAAAGGAAAATAAAAGGGTCATCTAATCACAGTCTTGTTTCAAATCATTCCCTACGCCAAAACTCAAATGTTCCCATGACACTTGCTTAAAGGCTGATGCATTTAACCAAAGTACAAAAATCTAAATAGAACATAGATAATTAGTCTTATAATTGTTCACATCGAAGGGAGAGCAGATTTTGTTTTTACATCACCCTCTCAGTTAGGGGCACTTTGATACACCCCTTTTTAGGATACAGAGTTTAATTGGCATATCCAGCCAAGCATGCAACTCAAAATATGGCAATGTGTCTTTTTACTATTAGCATGTATATTGGGGCATCACTGGGCAGAGCAACCCCTCCCCCCCCCACATGTTGTCACTCATACATGCCAGGCATGCACTTTTCACCGCACAGATTTTAAAGAGCAACACATGTAGTTGTCTTCAGAAGGTCCCATAGGGTTAAGTAGGAGAGATGAAGGTGGTAAAGTCAGAGGAAAATTCAGTGGTGCAAAACACTGGAATGAAAGACGGG